TCGCAGGTACATATATAACATGTAAACCCAGATGCAACAAGCCTCAAACTGAGTATCAGGGTGTTTCTTTCAGACTCACCTTCATAACCTCAAGAACTGTATACGGTGTATCCTGTCGCCTATATGCTACGAACGGATCAGGAGTGGGGTTATTGGCATCAACAATAGTTGACTCTGCTCTCGGTGCAACTGTCATCCTGACTGAATATTCTTTACAGCTAGCACAGGAAGAATATTGTTTTGTCTCCTATTGATATACCGAGTGGAATTCATGGAACTACCGCTGTAGTAGTCTAAATTAGATCCTTTTCCTTTTTACCCTGACTAATGTTCAGAATATATCATAAACCTCACGCCACTTGAGAACTATAGTTTACAGATCACTGTTGCCTGGTTCGTTGCAAATAAGTGAATCTCTCTAGCCCTTTAAACTAATAATACATCTGCATGCATACTATATATTCATGATTATCAGATTAATGAATAAGTACACAATTAGTGAGATTCTTTATCGATTACCGAATAAAAATGTGTGATAAAACACCAATGATGAACAATTGAGAAAACCCTAAGCTAAGTAAAACCCTGCCCTGTGGTATATCCACAACAGTCAAAAGATACTTTTTTTTTAAATACACACAGAGGCATGAGACCTAAAAACACTGAAACAGGACAGGACTACAGGGAGGAGTACAGGCCCAGGGGTATTTGTTTATTTATTTATCTATATTGGTCTTGTACAATATCGAGGAAAAAAAATGAGAATAATAAATAAAACAAACCTGACGCGGAGTCGTGGCGTCACAGGTTCGCAGTCAGCCAGTCACGCCTCACGGCCTCTCAGTCTCACACTGAGGCACACAGTCTCACTCTCACAGTGAAGCCTCTCCAAGTCTCACTGGTGAGTGGTGAGTTATTACTGGCAGTCTGGCTGTGGGGAATCTCACAGTTCTTGTCATTGACACATGACATTGACACATGACATTGACATTTGACATTGCTCTATTGAACTATGCAGACGTTCGGTACTATGAAGTCTTGACGAGACTGTACCGCCTGCAGGCCTGAGCCGGGCTACAGAGACTGAGAGGCTGAGTAGTGCTGTTGTGTTTCTTTTTTTGTATTTTTATTTTAATAAATCGTTGTTGTTTAGCAACCAGATCGAACAAACCACGGCAACCGCCCAACCCAAGGTAAAAGCTTTTTTCTTCTTTTTGGAGGACAAACTTTAACTGTCACTGCAAACGGACTTCATCAGCAAGCACGGCATACGTAAAATATATATGCACGTACAGGATAGATAGAGACCACTCCGTATACATAGTCATAGGTCTGCACTTGCACATTGTACATACAAAGTTACGTGAAGAAGAAAAACGTATACACACACATAAATAAAGATGAAGAGCTACTACTTGCTATCGGTGCTGGCAGCCTCGTTCGCCATCGCATCTGGCGAGCGCTTAGAATCCAATGAAGCCCATATGGAAGGCGAAGTAGTGCTAGAAGCCGATGGTGTTCAGAAACCACTTGCTGTGCAAGTAGAGCAAGCTGAGGAGCAGGCTATTGGTGATGCTGATCACAAACAGAAAATGCTCAAGGAGCATCTGATCAAGGGCCAGAAAGACGCCAAAGCCGAGCACGATGATTTTATTGAGGAAGATGGGTGGGATCGACGTGGATACCATATGTGGTCTAACCAGAAGGGCAAGTTCACACAACAGGTATGTATGTGTGGAGGTTATAGGGGTATGAGCAGCTCTGACTGCATGATTGCTTCACAGGGCAAGTTTCTACTGTCTAGAACGTGTGTGTAGATGGTATAGTGGTATGAGCCTCAATAACCGCAAGGTACATGTTTCACAAGCAGGTTTCTAGTAACTAGGGAAAAAATTAAATTAGATGTCTATGTAGTGTGTAGTTCTGTAAATTGAATACTCAGGAAGGAAAAATACACGACTGTGTCTAATATAGAATATATCCGAGCTACATTTTAACTTCCATACTGTGTATTTCAGGCGATGCTTACTCGTGCTAGTAGCATGCTATTTATCTTCTACCCGTACTACTTCCATAGAATAAATATCGTGCTGAATTTAACTCTATGCCCTAGCCAATAGCCAAAGAAACAACCCGACAACCACTATTGGGGTACTCTTCTCCTACTTTAGCAGCAGCTCTACCACTGAGCACTATATTCAGAAGGGTACCCACCGAAGTATACGCATCAACTCTACTGCGATACACTATCCTCCCATGTATTCGTCTCTGTATCAAACAGTGAAATTTAACAGAAGCAAAACTTTTTATTAAACTCTTATTTCGCACTATTGCATGTTTGCTTTAATAATACATTGTCCACTTAGATTATTAAATTGTCTCCTATCTAGTGCACATATCATTTCATCAACAATAGGAATCAGACTACTATATCCTACCTCTCTTCTTTCCCTCCTATACACAATCTTCCCGCTTGCTTCTGAAATCAAATTGTATATTAAAATTTGCATAAGGTTGAAAGGGGTCATGGGCGAACAATTGCGCTTAATTAACGATAATCAACTTCAAAGACTTTTCTTAGCTCAGTGTGCGCTGACTAGCGTATAATACAGACTGTTTATTTCAAATACATTGTCTTAGCCACCACAATTCATGTTTGATGTAAAATTTTAGGACCTGTTTGTATAATTCACTGAATCTGACCTTATTTGTGCTCAAGATTGCGGTATTGTCCGTGGTGTACAATCTCTCACGCAACTGCCTGAATCGACCCATCATTTCATACAATCCACATAACTCATATTAATGCCATCAATTATATCTATGAATTGGACTTTCTGCCGATTGCATTGCATAAACGTAAAAGTAAACGTGTGCTGAATTTCTACGTGTGACACTTACATATTGTCAATTGTATTGTACAAACGTAAAAGTAAACGTACACTCAATTTCTACGCGTGACACTTCACTCACAGATTGCGCATGCTATGGGAATGATTGGCACTACCGCAAAGCTGGGGCGCAACGTGGTCCTACCCGCCTTCTCCATCCACGACCAATCCGTTCAGCAAACCCGACTGTTGAAGTTCAACGACGTAAGTATCCTGGTACCGAACTGGTGTCCGCATATGATTTTAGGGTCTTTAAGGAAACCCGTATCTGTATATGTGTGTTTGTGTCGGGACTGGGGTTGGTGTGCCGTCAACTTATGGACGGTAGACTTGCTGACCTACGTGTGTGAGAGTCCCTTGCGTAGGGGTAGTCTTGCATCCATTGCTCGACAGTACGAGTATGCATGAATATATTCCTATGCTTGTGTATGTACTCCTTTTTTGCGTATGTTTGTGTATGTATTCTTATGTTTGTGTCTGTATTCCTATGCTTGTGTATGTATTCCCATGTTTGTGTATGTATCCCTATGTTTGTGTCTGTCACAACCACATTCACCTCCACAATAGAGGCTGTGATAGGAGACGTACTGTACGAATTCTAATCACACGGAGAGTTTTTGTTCCAGTTCTTGGTAAGTGTTTATCACAATACTAGTGTGGTCTGCTGCTTGCGGCTCTAAAGCCTTTTGCGTCAGTGTAGTTAACCAGTGTGTTTATCTCGACCTACGACCGTAGACAAAGGCCTCTGCAGTGCGATGAGTGTCACTTAATTTGGGACCAATGCCGTTTCCAAATCTCAAAACGGGATCACAGCCTTTACAAATCCTAGAACAGGATCAAAGCCTTTACATATCCTAAAATGAAATCAATGCCGTTTACAAATCCTAAACCGGTCTGGTGACACCGACTGCCATTAAACTCAGTGTAGTGCTTATGTGAACTAAGAACTTAATCGCTAAGGAACAAACATTAACCGTAGGTTCATCTGACCATGTATAATAACCGTAACAACAACTGAGCATGTATAATAACCGTATCAATAACTGGACATCTTGCAGGTATTTGACATGACATCCTTAAAGATGTTCGATCCTCGCTTCATCACCTTAGAAGACTTCATGGAAAAGTATGTGGTGTACGTCGTGCGAAGGTGTTATATCTTGAGCTTATGATGATTAGCAGTAACACTTGGCTATCCTTCCATCCCCATATTTATATAATGTATGTATTCTTTCTTCTTCTTGTTAAAAAAACTCTATATTGATGAAGGTTTGGTGAAACCCGATGGCCCGTAGACGAACGATACGCATATTGCGATGAAGAATGGCCATTATATGAAAAGTCACAGAACTGTAACCTAAAGGTAAGTCCCATCTGAGTTCGTATATTTACAGTCAGATGCTTTATATTGTTCGTACATCAGTAGTCAGATGCGTTATAAAGTGTTCATATATTAGTAGCCAAATGTTTAGTGTTCATATATTAGTAGTTAAATTTTATCATATTCGCCAATCATGTGTTCATATATTAGTAGTTAAATTATCATATTCGCCAATCAAGTGTTCATATATCAGTAGTCAGATGCTTTATATTCCTCTATCGAGTGCCTTCTTCTTAATAGTACCCTGTGTATAGCATTTTCTGTGTTTGTTTTTGAGCTGTGACTCACATCCATAGTACTTTCCATTCGGGTATCTGGAATACCAACACTACGTTTACGATACAAAAATATATATGATAAGGGACATATCCGTTGTCTTATATTCAATCAATATAGTGAGTGTAAACACTTTTGTAATATAGTACATATCAGTAGTATGGCTGTCGCAGCGCTGTAGTGCGGTTTGTCTTTTGGTATATGAGGTGTTCAGTGTTGCAAACGAGACGTTCCGTGGAGAATTAAGCGATTGTAGGTGCGCTTGTCATACACACATGTACATATGTATGTATATAGATCTAGGCCTGCTTATTGCCTCAAACTTCCATCGATTTAAGCCGATAGTGCCTCTCTAAGTAATATGCCGTAAATTTACACTGTGATTTAGTAGAATAAGGTCTCACTCGTTAACGGAATTAAGCAAACAAATCACTCCACCAACTATGAACGGCTATGCACCTCTACGTATATCCATATCCTCGTACAAATGTCCATACATACGCAAGCGCACAATCCCTTGGTACACTTCTACCTAAATCTTCGAAAACAGACCACACCCAAGAACCCTAAATCCTGACCTTACTTATATCTCATACACATGTCCATACATACACAAGCGCTCAACCCCTTGCTACACTACTACCTGAACCCCAAAACAACCCGAAAAATAGACCACCCCCAAGGCCGCACAATACTGGGACGCATACAGCATCGACTTTATCGGAAAAAAGCCCTTCTCCCGCAAAACTCGTCCTGTGCCTGAGTCCGATCCCGTGTTTGTCACAGGCTCGCTCGCGCGCTATCCCTTGGAAACCAGGCTTGACTCGTTATACGGCTACTTCCGATGGAACCCTTGTACGTGTGTATGTGATAGAGGCACAGTGTGTTTCTGTGGTATATGTGGCTATTTGTGTGGTAAAAGCATAGTGTGTTTCTGTGGTATATGTGGTTATTTGTGTGTGGTAGAATAATAGTGCGTTTCTATGTGTGTATATGAGCATAGGAACTCTTGGAGTCCTTGTAAGTGTATGGGCAATTATTTGTGTTTAGTAGAATATTAGTGTGTTCTGTGTGTGAATTTGAGCATAGAAACCCTTGTACGTGTATAGGTAGTTATTTGTGTTTAGTAGAAGCATAGTATGTTTCTGTGTGTGTATAAATGGGCATATGGACCCCTGTAGGTATATCTGTACTTTTATTTGTGTAGTAGACTAATAGCGTACCTCTGCGTATGTCACTCATCTCCCTCTCCCCATTAATTGTCCACTATAGACCTATTAGAAGCCAGCATTGACTACGTAGAGAAGTACCTTCCGCGGCCCTTCATGAGTGTGCAGATAGCGGGTGGCAAGTCATGGGCTACAACGTGCGAGGCGGCGGTGTCAGGAGCGGACAGGATCTTAGCATCCCGTCAGTGTTTAGGCGAAAACGGTGTGTGCTAGTGTGTTGGTCTTATGTTATGTCGACAGAGTGTATATGTTTGTGTGTCATGTAGCGTGCGAGTGTTGGCTAACAGTTAAGGGCATCTGTGGCATTTGCTGGCAGTTGTAGTCCATTTGGCACGCGCTCAGACAGAACAACATAACATGTGCAGACCCCTATTCGTTTCATGCTAGCACAGGTGAAGTTTACGTACCGGCTTAGTGTAGTAGTGGGATCAGACATGCCTGGCGTATGCTGGTGTGTTTATTTGTATATTGTCTGAAGTATTGGTAGTGAATACGAAAGTCTCGGGTAGTATACATCCGCTTAATTATACGCAGAGCTCTAGCTGTTCGGGACGAGATTTCTACTGACCCTGTCTACTATCTAGCAACCCCACAGCCAAGGAAACTTTCCAAACTTCAATTTATATATTTATATATATATATACATATGTATATAATTCAATTTCTTCCATTGGGACACCCACAGAAAAAATCTATGCCGGCCTGTGCAAACCCAGTGAATACAAGATGCTAACAGATATCGTTGACGTGGCCATTAAGGAAAAAGGTAAGTCTAAAAGCGTAGCACTCTGAAGGAAACAGTGGGTTTGCGTCCGTACCTAGCTCGGGTAGCTATTCATATAATGTGGTTATTCCGGGCGTATTCTATGCGCACCTGTTGTGTCATGCACACACATACGTTGTGTGCTGATGTTAGGCGATCGATGGATATGGATTCAGATATCTATTTCTGGGTCTATGCCCGATAGGTTAAGTTGCGATTCTGTATATACATGCATGTCTGTATGGTAAACCGATATATGATACCATTTAGAGAGGCATATCTTTCTTATATTTGGAATTTCAAATTCCTAATATACTGATCCTTATTTCGCAATTCCCGAAAACAGTCAAGTCGATATTCCTGATTGCGGACGCCATCACAGAGCCGTTTATTCCTAATCTCCAGAAAATGTTGGCTAAGCAGGAAATGAGCGGTGTTATTGTCATCGCAGGCACTGGTAACGAGGTGAGTATTGAGATGGCTTGAGGCGTTGAACGATTTTCTTGTTCGTGAACAGCTACTATGTTATGTATTATACGTATATGTATGTACATTTTGTGTAATATACGTATATGTATATATACCTTGGGTATTATACATATATGTATGTATATTTTGTGTATTATACGTATATTTTGTGTATTATACATATATGTATGTATATTTTGTGTATTATACGTATATTTTGTGTATTATACATATATGTATGTATATTTTGTGTATTATACATATATGTATGTATATTTTGTGTATTATACGTATATGTAAGTATATTTTGTGTATTATACGTATATGTAAGTATATTTTGTGTATTATACGTATATGTAAGTATATTTTGTGTAGTATATGTACATGTGTATTTATGTACACCTTGAATATTATACGTATATGTCAGAGAATATGTGAAGTATATCTATGTACACCTTGGGTAGTACATGTATATGTAAAAGTCTATTCAATGCACACCTTGTGTAGTATACATTTATGTCTAAGTATTTATACCGTGTATGACGTTCCAATCCCGGCTTGTATGTCAATAGACCTATCCAAAAGATTTTAAAATATAAGCACATCCTGTGGGACCACTAACCGAATATGCGTTTCAGAAGACGTTGCTCAATTTTTAATACGCTTGGATAGTTATAGCGCGCGTACATGTGTGTGGGATTGCATTCAGCTTCTTTCGTTTTCTCTACTCTCGGCACACATATATTGTATACTGCCGCTGAGCCCATATCTCAACCACTTTTAATACACAACCCAACTCAGGTACTCGATGTAGTCATTGAGGAGTTGTCGGATGTGTTCCTGGGCAACTGTGTCAACCCCGCCTCAGAGATCATCATGAACTTCAGGAAGCACCACATCCCCGAAGACGTACGACCCCCGACATATTACTTTGGGAAGATTGAAGAGTAGTCTGAATATATGGGCAGACGTACGACCCTACACATATAACGATGGGAGAGGAGTCTAGATTCAGAATAACTATGGACGGATATACAGCACTGACCAAAGATGTACTTCAGTACATAAGGACAAATACTACATAAATATATATGTATACGTATATAATGGGTGTATGGATGGTTGCATGAAATTATCCTGTTATGAAAGTTATACGTTTAGTATGCCTGGCCCTTCAAACTGCTCCTGGTATCACTTCAAAGAGGCTGCATGAACGATCTATGCAAACGTCACTGTAAACGCGAGTTGAGAACACAAAAGTCTGTCTGTCATGTTCGCTATATAGAGGAAGGACAGCAAGCATATTTTGAGAGATATTCGATGGCAATCTAATAAACCAAATCATTTGATACCAAACCTCATTGTAGATGCATACTATAGGTATATATATATATATATATATCTTGAATGCCTATGGGCGATGAAGGGCCCCGTGTATCTGCACGTTCACCCGTTTTCTGGCATGTACATGAATTAGTTGGTTTCAGATGCGCTTAAACGGGTCTAATTCATCTCCTCAGTCCTCACATCTTTGTTTTACGTCGATATATACAATCATTACCAACAGACTTAGGTAACGGCACGGAGCAAATCCTCAAAACATGCGTATCTATGGCAACCATAAGGCAAAATCATGTCTATTTACGACATTCACTATTGGTTCCAAGAATGCACTTTTCTTGTGCGTGGTCACCAATGTTTTTCTTCCAATGCCAAGTTCGGAATATGAACTTATAAATCTGTCCTCATTGGTTGATTTGTGCTCATTCGTCACTCCGGACCCAAAAACTCGTGCGCTTTCATTTCCCTATCTACGTGCCAATTCTGTAACAGAAATGTCGAAGTTTGTCCTTTGTCCATGGTGACCAGTCCAAAATGTATTAGAAATATGGCAAGTTGGTCCTGATTCATGGTGACCACTTCAAAAATGCATCAGTCCTCATTTGGTACATCTTGTTACGTCAATTGTGTGGACACCCATGTTTGTCCCAAGACTTCAACACTCACACTCATTATAATAACCCCGTTTGGTACATCTTGTTACGTCAATTGTATGGACACTCATGTTTGTCCCAAAACTTCAACACCCAATATAGTAACAAGCTCATATGGCCATGCAGATTGCATCTCGTCGGTAATGACAGGTCCTTATATTCAAGAAGTTCGGTCTTCTTCATAGAAATAATACTATTTATTACGCGTTAAAACACCAAATGAGGTAGGATATTTTCATTATGTCTATAGCGCCGACTCTATACCCACGTGATTGATCCCCGCCCACAGTCTCAGTCTCATGAAAAAAGTCGTTTTGCGTATGTGTATGTTTCTTGGGCCATTTACACCTCGACATAAGGCCTTCTTTACGGATTATAACGTATTCATTTATGTCGTAAAGAAGGATTCGAACGTATTCATTTATGTAAAGATAATATGGTGCTGGTCATCATCCATCATCCAGCGTTGATCTCACATCCAGTGTCCGAATAATGCCATACTTTGAATACCCAGTCCATCTGGACCATGCTTCGTTCGCCGTGGAACCCGTTTCACATGCTCATGCACCGTATCCTCAATTATAGTAATTAAGGTGACTTATTTACGGACGCTATGTTTAGTACTAGAGGTTTACCATAAGCAAATGCAGGGCTAGTATTGGCATTTCCCATGCACCGTATCCTCATTTATGGTGTTTGAGGTGACCTATTTACGGACGCTGTGTTTAGTATTAGGGGTTTACCATAAGCAAATGCAGGGCTAGTTTTGGCATTTCCCATGCACCATATCCTCATTTATGGTGTTTGAGGTGACCTATTTACGGACGCTGTATTTAATATTAGGGGTATACCATGGGCAAATGCAAGGCTAGTATTGGCATTTGCGGTTCGGCGGGCATAGCAACCGATCCCGAGGTCTCTAAATTCATATGGTTGGTTGAGGGTGGCAGTTCACTCTGCTGCATAGTAGACCGCATCAACCGAGTGCACTCGCCTGGGCACATCCGGTAATCCTCTCGCCATCATCAGCTCAACAACAATCCTGCTGATCTGAGATGAGAAGGTACCTATATGTATATATATATATATAAATTGAGTGGAAATGAAGTTGGGTCCATTGTTTTGCATAGAGTGGTGGTAGAGAAGTACGAATACACAGTCGAGATACCAATATAATAGTTGTAAGGCGTTCATTAGAATCAGCCACCTAATGAAGAGTATCCTTGTGAATACGGAGGTGAAGTATTGAGTCGTAGTACGAGACTTTTATTGACACGATTTGAAGGAGATGAGTTATAATACAAATATGTGTATGAAATGGGAAACGCAGCCCTTGAGATAAGACTATCCCTGGGTGTATAGGAGTGGACGAGTCAAGTATTACCTTCAGAAACGGAAGGACCGAATGTCTGATTTTATATATTCATACACCGTGTAATTCTCCGAGTATACCTATCTACAGGAAACATAGTCGGTGCTATTCCGTGCAGCTGAACGCACGCACGCATCTATGTAAATGGATACGGAGCGGGAGACAACCACAAGTATGTTATATTGTACGCACTACGCCTCCGCTCAACCATCCATGTACATACTTGTGATGAATATTCAGTGGTGTACACAACTCTACCATCCACGTACACACTTGTGATGAATATTCAGTGGTATGCACATGTCAGGAGATGTTACTTTCGAGCCATAATGAATCAAAACTGCTTGCACCATCCGACAGTATACCTAGATCCAAGAAAATCCATTTGGATAAGCGCCAGCAGAGCATATAGCTACTTACACACGTACTTTCCAAGGCATCGATCCCCACCTACCGACAAAGCAAGTATGGATCAAGTTACACCTACCGACAAAGAACGTATGGACCAAGTATACACCTACCGACAAAGAACTCGGCCTCTGACATCATCCGCAGATCCAGCAGCAGGCGGTCTAGGCTCTCTGCGTTGTATCTTGTGTTCTGTTTGGACGCGAGCGCCATACCCCTCTCGTCGTAGATGAAGTTGTACCGCGGATAGTTCGAGAAATCGCTGATTTTTATCATATAAATGTGGTCCAATTCCAAGTGAATTGGAGCGATAGACGAGGACAAGTGAGTTAGTTAATTCGCACCAATACCATCAAACCCATTGCCACACATATATTATAAATAAGTACAATTGTGTACGCTGTAATATTGCTTGTATTAATTCTTGCATTAATTCCTGTATTAATTCTTGTATCATTTTTTTGCATCAATTCCTGTACTAGTTCTTGTATTAATTCCTGTATTAATTCTTGTATTAATTCTTGTATTAATTTCTGTATTAATTCTTGTATTAATTCATGTATTAATTCTTGTATTAATTCTTGTATTAATTCCTGTATTAATTCATGTATTAATTCATGTATTATTTCGTGTATTGGTTCTTGTACTGATTCTTGCATCCACTTTTTTCCCATCGATATACCTTGCAATACGGTTTGCATGAAGCCATTTAACTGTATTCAGTGAACTTCGCTCCTCAAGGACTATAGGGTTTTTTACCTGTGTATAAGTTTCCGTGATATATCAGGTGGTACATATAACATATGTCTATTAATATAAGCATCCACGAGTATGTGCAAATATAGATACAGTAGGCAAACCTACTGGTAGAGCCATGTACTAGAACGCATACATAAAACACCAACAGTACTACACCCGCCTTCACGGACCCACATACTTGGGGAGGGTAGGGTCGTCTGTAGCCACGTATATATTAACAGGCGTGTGCTCATGCTCGGCGTAGTAGTCGTGATGGCGTGCGTTGGGGTATATGAGATGGTCCACATGCTGCATGTACTCCTGAAACGTGTGGGATGCAGCCTCCGTCTGTTCACCCCGGTGAGCCTGGACTTTGTCCGTACGACGTACGTGCAGGCTTACGTCCACGGGCCTGGTCAGATTCATCTGTGGATGGGCGAGTGACAGACACAGACTACCTTTTAATAGGTACACAGACAGTATAAGTATACAGTACCAAGCCCAGCGAGACACCTGAACACAAGCTCGTTTAGCTCAGAATCTACTTCCGAGGATAGAAGGGAAGTGCGATCAGAGGTGATAGTATATATATATATATATATATATGCCATTAAAATAGGTATAGCCGTGCTCATGTTTGAATGGTCGTGTGGCAGCATCAACGGTCACTGCTGTGGGGCACAGAGGCATTTGCGGTGATTTGCGATAGAGACAAATCGGTGCATTGGATCTGCCAGCTGCGAAACTAACACCAATTGACCGATGAGGCAGAAGGAAAAGCTGGAATTTCAAATATCTACATAAGAAAAATGCGGTATATCTCTATTTAAGTAAGGTGAGGTCTATCTCTATTTAAGCAAGGTGAGGTTTGTCTCTATTTAAGCAAGGTGAGGTTTATCTCTATTTAAGTAAGGTGGGCTCTGTCTGATATTGAAGGAATATGAATGGTGACATGAGGAGGTGAAAGGGACATATCTAACGTTCATATCCTTTCAATCTCGCCCCTCGAGCGTGCTGCTCGCCAGTATAGCGATATCTTCTCAACTCTTACGTAGCAAACCGATAGTGGTTCCAACATACCTTTCTGTACAGACATGTCCAAACGATTGGGACAGAAATTTAGGACCATTGTGTTCCCACACATGAACACATATTGGTTGCGCGTATCTCTGCTTTGAGATTCCTGTGATAGCGCCTACCTCATCATTCAGCAGCCATGACACAATCAGGCTCATAGACCATAGGCAGTGAACATAGCCACTCAATGACATCATATATATATATATATAATAATAATATAATATATTATATATATATATATATATTAA